CAGCCGAGACCTGATCTCAAGAAAGCACCAACAAAACAAGCACTTCGAAGACAGCTTCGCTCAATTTGGCTTGCTATGGCTTGCTGGACGCTTAAGCATCAGCAAGAGGGCAACTGAGGGTTAGCAGTCGTACCAAAAGATGCCGGGGAGGGTCATTCGCTGAGCTCGAGCCTTAGCATTTCTAGTTGCGATGGGGTTTTATTGGGGTTCGCTGGCAGGTACTAACGACTTTGCTACCTTCCGAGCCATTCAGCACGCTGCTTGACATCGATCACATCTTCGATCTATTTGGAACGCATGGAACGCCTTACTTGGAGGAACCAATGCAGGGGTCGGTGGGTTTTCGGACGTGACCCATGTTGGTGGCCGCAAGGGCGAGCTGCTGCCCGGAAGAAGCGAGAAGGAGGCAAGGCATCGCTCGGGGAACACAAAAAGGGCCCCCCCAAAAGGAGAGGCCTCTAGAAGCAAAGCTTTTCAGGCTCCACGGGCATCAACCCTCTAGTGATCGTTGGTGCCTAATTATTCAAGAAACACGGGCCATGCCTCAGATGGGCTCAGCCTCGTGAGACATCGTCCTCGAATGGTTTGGAGCAACCCTGCCAAACAGTGACCAAACCACAAGTGGTAGAAACATTGTATGTGTCAAAATAGCGAAAACCCAAACATTGTTTTTCCTTTTGGTTTCCCTCTAAGCCAACCTTAAAGCGTACTGTCAAAAAAACTCAAACACGAAACGGTATGGGGCCCTTTGCGCTTTTCACCACGGCGAAATGTCTGCTCTTGAGAGCAACCCTGAGCAAGCATCCTTGGAATCAAGCGGAGAACTAGTTCACTGGGTCAACGCCAGTCTCGACTCCCAGGTTTGGGGAATGTCAAACAACAAGTCCTAGTATGGCGATCGGCATGCAATCGTTTGTGACTTCGTCTGCCAATTTGGGGAAGACATCGGGGGGACCCTTCCCATTTCTTGGGGAAGGTCCGTGTTCAGGGGCGTTCCCAAAGTGAGGGACCCCCTCAGGGGGTTCGGAAATCGCAGCCGTGTTTCAATCGTTCCATAGAAATGGCCGCCATGCGGTTGGATGTTGAACCTTTCCACAGAGCCACACGTTTTTTTGCACATGGCTCATGGGATCAATCTAAAGTTGGTCTGATAGAAAAAGGACCTAAGGAAACACGCACTTGGAGGGCCCTGCATTTGAAACATAATTTGCATGTGCCTTCCCTTTCGGTCCCCAAAATCGATGGCGCAAGACCAACAAAACATAGGTACACCGAAAATCTGACACGCCGATTTTGGAACTTTCTCCATTCTTTCCAGAGATTTTCAGAAAGTTTTGAGAAACCCCGAGAGAGTAAGCGTCCTTCTTTGGAAAAGAACGAGTTGACTTGCTCGCTTTCAGGGATTTGGGGAATGACCCCGAACCATCCCTTCTTTCATTTGCAGGAATCAAAGGTTCATTACCCAAACCCAAATGAAAAAAAGAACTCAGAACCAGCAAAAGGGGACAAACAGCCGCACTCAACTTAGACAAACACAATGAAAGGAAACCGTTTCGAAGTTGGCCATTTCCGACTTGCCACCCTGTAGGGCCGGCGTTTTTTGGTCAAATGCGTTGTTGCGAGTGTTTCTCAACATGCACCAACCCTTTTGGTTGGTTTTGAATGGGACGCCAAAAGGAAACCAACCATCTTGGACCGATTCCTATTAGACTCGTATGACCACATACACTGCCACATCGGTCCGTCTCAAAAAGAAAACACGTGAACTGCCAAGGGTTTTCCCATTACGCCAACCCAAAAGCCGGGTACCATGAACAAAAATGACGCAGTCGAGGTCCGGGCGCTGCTGGCAGAGTTGGGTCATCGCATTGCCGCTTGGTTCTCCAAGGCTTGCCCAGACCCCAGTGGGATGCTTCCGTTTTTATTTTTGTTTGTTTTTTGTTTGGGAGGGGTTCTGTTAGAATCGATCAAAACATAGCCCTTGAAATGTGGCAAGGGGGAAACCGGATGCCAGTTCCCTTTGATTTCTCCATTATGTCGACATCAAAGTCATCCCTGGAATCTTGAAATGTGCTAAGGGAACCATGCCCGGTTTTGTTATGATTCTCCCCTGCCCATGATTTTACCACTACATTCACCCTGAAAATTGGTAAAGTGAAACAACCCCAGCTTGCTTTGATAGCCCTTGATGAGTTTGTCATCACAGCCACCCTGAAACGTGGTGAAGCGGCACCCCTGAAATGCGTAAAAGGGAAACCCCCCCACCTACAAAGAAGTGTGGTTTCCCTTTGGTTCAACATACGGAAACTACAAAACAGCCTTCAGTTTGCCTTTGCCTTCCCTTCGGTGTCCCTTGGGTTTACCCCCCCCCCCCCACCCCCCCCAAAAAGGGTACCGAGCCGCCGCCTCGTTGCCTCCGCGGCGCCCAGATCGGCAACGGCCAACTCTGCGCCCGCGCCGCCGGGGTGCGGCGCACTTTCTTGGCATCGGTGGGGGTCAGGCGACTCGGAGCGATCCGGAGCGATTTGGTCGGTTGGATCGCCCTATTACGCCGAAACGGGCACTTGGCAAACGAATCAAAGGGTCACTTAGGGACTTCGGGCACCGACACCCTGAAGTGCCCTCGATTCAAAAATACGTCAAGTGCCCTTCATTGAAGGGAACTGAACATATGCTGGGATGACGGTTCTGACTGCGCTGCTTGGCCCTTTGTGCCTGACCCTAAGAAGGAAGCTATGATGGCTCCACGTCCGTTCTAGGGGTTGTTATTCCAACCCGGCACCGATTGCGTCGAGAGGTTAGCGGCTAGCATGATGAACCTGTGTGGTTGGGCCGTGTGCGGTTCCGCTTGTGGGCAGAGTCTTTTGCGAAAGCCTCGAGCGATTCAGATTTGGCCTCACCTCATTCATAGGAGGGCTGAGACGCGGTTGAGAGGCACGCAGGCATGATTCGTTCTAGTAGTATAGGCGGCCTATTCGATTTAACAGGAGCTGTAGATCAATCCTATCTCCTTGTTGGTAGGCCAGTTTGGCTGAACACAGATGGCACTGGTTTCAGCTTGCTTCTAATCATTTGCCTTTGCCATACATTATCCGAAGGACACCCATGATCAATCATGTCAGAGCAGTTTAGCGTGCAATTTAAAGTACTGAATCATGGACCTTTTTAAGTCCCAAAAAACCCACCTGCCACACAGGAAAGCATGACGAGCCCGGTATAAACCCAAATATAATCGAAAACCCTACAGGCTTAAATGTCTCCTGGTTTAGGTTGAGGGTTCGATTTCCGCACGTTCACTGCTCGTTCCCTTTGCAAGTTGGGATCCGGGATGCTCGGAGTTGGCCCTACGTCCCCTAAGCATTGGCCCCTTCGCTCTTTTGGCACTTCTCACGGGTCATCACGGGTGCGTCTCGCAGCACAGTGAGGGGAGTTCGCACATGTTGGCCAGAATTGTTGAGATTGCTTTGTTAGGGGAATCCAAAGGGCGCCCAAAGACCAAACAGCTTGTAGTCTCCTGTTTTGGGAAGCTTCTAATTCATGATTCAGGGAGAAAATAATTGCCACCTCAAGGGTTTTTGTTTACAAGGGGGAAAGAACAAAAACAAAGATGATGAAGGTTCCATTCTTGGGGGTGGCTTATTTCACCCGGGCTTTCTCTTTTCACCAGCCACTTGGAATCCCCAATTCGGAGCAGCACCTGCGTCGCGGCTACAATATCCTTAGGCCTTAGCTCCCCCTTTCGCTTGGCTCAAGGCGAACCCATGACTCCACGCCAGGAACAGAGCCCAGGGAGAAACCTGCCCTGAAGCCATGGAAAGCCCATTTGGCCGAGGTGAGAAGGTTGGCAAACTCTGAGGGAGCAATTGGTTTGATTTCCTTTTGGTTTCCCTTTGAGGTTTGCATCTGAAGAAAAACAGCTCACCCCAAGATCGAAAAACACCCAGGGAAAAGCGCAAATCGCTTTGGCAGGGTCAGGCTGCAAGCCGGGTAGGAATTGGTGAACGGGTTTTCTTGGTTCCCCTTTGAGGACCAATTTTCCATCCCCTTTTTGGGTCTTTGGGGCAAACCGTTTGAGAGGTTCTTCATGGGTATCAAGCTCAGTCTTGCAAGTGTCCACCGCCAGTGTGTTGGAGTTTTGTGTGCACTTTCTCAACGTCCTTTTCCTGCCAGATTTTTTGCAACTCAGTCACTGGCACGATGAAACAACATGGCAGCGTGAAAGCATGCGTGACACTTTGTGCAAGCCAGAGCGACCTCACCCGAGAGCGGCCGACATATGTTCAGAACCCGCTGAATGTCAAAGTAGTCATATGTGGCTGTCATCAGTAAGTCATCACTGGCAGTATGGGGCATATGGCTCGGTGATGTTGCATCGCGCACAAAGTGACATTGAGTTCTGAGTATCCCCAATGCTTTCGCCGCGTCATGGACGCTGGCGCTATGCGACTGGATTTGCCGGAATTCTGCTTGGGGCTCGGAGATACGCAGGTGGCGACTTATTTGGGTTCGAGCTCGTGTGGAGCCCATGTTGGACCCCTTTTGGAAAGCTGGACCAAGCTGATCGCAAAAGGAGTCAGCCTCTATGTTTGGGACCGCCCCTTCCTACCGCACGACTGCTACCCCACTCAGGCACTTTGCATTTGGAAGATCCAGAGTCCCTGACCTAAGGACCTCACGCCTTGACACTAGTGGTAGAAAGTGCAAGGCGCTTGCGTTTCGAAACTTAACTACCCCCGATGCTGTTGCTAATGCAAGATGGGGCTGTGATTTTTTTTCGGAGCCCGCAAGAAGCATTCAGGCTTTACATTTGACCTCGTAGCCACTGTGAACCCCGAATGTTTTGGGATACGCTCCGAACTGGACGTTTCGCATTCTGCGTTTGGGCTGCTAAGTTGCAGGACGGACTCAGAGCGCATCTTTCGTTTGCAAATTATGCTGTGAGTGAAAGACCATGTTTTCCAACCGGGTGTGCAACACGAGCAAGGTTGCACTTGTCAAGCAACCTTATGCATACGTAATTGGACACAATGCATACGTAATTGGACACAAATGGTTTCTGAAGGTTGGGTGACCTCGTAGACATGGGAGACATTCCTTTTCCGCAAAAAGAAGAACACGTCAAAAGGATACCCTTGATGGTTTTTGTTCCTCTCGAGAGTGACTGTTTGCAAGAGAAACCAAAGGATACCTGAAGCCACATGTTGGGTGGTTTCCCTATTTCAGACAAGCTCACAGCAACCGTGAATGTTTAACATGATTAACGTATGGGTGGGGGGGGACCTTGGCCACACTCACCAAAACTGCGATCTCTTCTCTTTTTAGGGCAGAGTAAGCATGGAGAAGAATCGGGGAACAAAAAACAACATGTACCCCCGGTGTGGACCAAGATCAGGAATTGGGGGGGGTGGGGCGGAGGGCGGAGGTTTGCACCACTTTCCCATGACGGTTGAGAACAACTTTTTTTGATGGCTGGCATGAGTTGCTGACTATTTAATTCGTCTACTGTTTGGGGAGGACACGGGGTGACAACCCAACTTATAAAAACCCAAGCTCTGTCCTACTTTCCCATCCTTGTCGAGCACGAAGAATGCTGCCCATTGTTGTCATGATAAACTTCAGCAAGTCCGGGCTTCGCTGTTTGCATGTGAGGCTGTTGGGCCTTTCATCCGCCTTCTTGCCAGCATTACAGAGGAAAGTCTCCCGGCGTGAACAAAGAGCTTGGGAGGGTCCAGGTGCTACCTGAGGTATCTTTGCCCTTTAATGTTGATCCCGGATTAAGCAACCCGTCCTATTAGGGGGGTGTTCCCTCCAAGAGTGATGAATCCCCACTAAAAGGGGACGCCCCCCAATCAAAATCAAACAGGGGTTTATGAATCCGGGGTCAACGTTACTGCAATGATCAATTATGAAAATAGTTGCCCTTTGTTTGTTGGCATGCTCGCGGAAGACAGGCTTTCATTTATTTGGCCATCCCCAGGACCTCAAATCAGCGGTCCCGTACAACAGTGGGGGATGTAAGCCCTGCCGAAACAAAGACCGGATCACTGTTCGGGAAACGTGTCCTTTTGTATGTTTGCGCGGAGTGACTGACATCAAGCTGGAGATCAATACACCTGGCATGCCTGGTAAAGTGATTCTAGGTTGCTGATGTGTATGCGACCCTGCTTCAATGGCGCATTAACGCTTTGGCCTTTGTCTGCCTCAAATATGGAACTCTGTGAATGCAGAAGACAACCAATGTTCTTTCCTGTTTTAAATTCTATGGGTGTGTGGTGGTATTGTTGTCTGGTATTCGTTCGTGTTTATCATTGGCAGGAAGCCTGGTCAGTCTGACTCCTCCATTGCGACAGTTCGAGACCTGACATCGACCATATCGCCGAGATGGGAGTTTCTCAAAATTGTGGACCCCCTTTTGTTGTGTATTTGAAGGCAGGCCAATCAATTTGGCGTCACTATGTCGTGTTGAGAAACCCCAGATCGAGCTTTGTTTTCGGACATTCTCAGGCCAAGCTGTGGTAAACCGCTGGCTGGATTCCGAAAGGTTGGCACGTGAGAGATCTGGTTTTCCATGTTTTATCCTGGATCGTCCATGTGGATGTGGGAAGGTCCCCGTTTGTTAGATGCCGACCATCAAACAGGGCGCTTCATGTGCTATGCGCTTGTTTGTTAAAGGCAACTTGTTTCGGATTGTTTCAGAAGAGAAACCAAAGGTACACCGAAGCTCATGTTGGGTTTGAGACTCCCCATGAAGCAATCCGCGCTTACCTTTTCACCCTCATATAGCGATGGGCTTTTGTTTCTGTTGACCACCCCTGTCACACTCCCTAGCGCTCCCCCTCTCGGGCTTAGGGTGACCTTCACTGGGGGATGGCCGGGGCAGTCTTCTTTTGACCCTGTTTAAGAAGGGTTTGCATCGTACGCACTTGGCGGTGGACGGTCAACTCTGCAGGTTCAACTTTTCTAACGGATCAGCAAACCGCCAATATGAGCTTGGCACATGTTGACTTCATGTTGAAGAGGTCAGAAGAAGGGTTTAAGGTGCTTTTCCGACTTTTCAGACTTTTGGCTTGCTTTGTTTAAACATAGTGGTTCCTTCTTTTTGTTGCTGGTGCCACCAGTTGGATTGTTTTTTTCGGGGTCATTCCATTTCTGATCCCCCGCATCTCTCGCACCAGCAAGTGTTTGTTGTTTTTTGAGGAATGTCAAGGAGACATATTGTTTCCCTCTTTTTTTCGAGGATGTTGGGCAGCCACTCGGGGAAGCCACTCGCCGGTTTCGGACGCTAGTGACGCGGATGCTCCGAAGGCGCCCGCCTTCCGCGTGCCGCGGAACAGCGGAAACGGCGAGGCCACGGACTGGCGGGACTTCCGCGCCGGGCTGGTGCAAGGCACCGGGGGGAGGAGGGGTGGATTTACGCCCAAAGACCAGAGGAGCCCCCCGACACTTCCCTGCAACAAGCGTGCGGGGGGGGCGGTATGTGCACGTACTTCCCTTGTTGGT